ATTTTTTTCCTCTCAGATCATTAAGAATTTAAAATTTTTCTAAAGAATTAAAATAACTATTTTTTTCAAATGTTTAATTGAGAAATTTAAAAATTGGAAAAAATTGAAAAGCATTTTCTAATAAACTGAAAAAAGAAATTTAAAATCAAAGATTTAAAAAATGAAAAAAATGAAAAATTATTATTTAAGAGTTGAAAAAAGGTTAAAATTTGAATGAAGAATTTAAAAATTAAAAGAAGAAATTAAAAAATTTGAAAAAGGATTTTTCTTAAAAAAAAGGAATGCAGAGATTTTAAAAATTTAAGAATTTATAAGAATTCTTGGCCCTTTATAAAGTAATATGCACTTCTTTTTTGTTGGAAGTCTCAGGCTATTTTTTTTTAGGAGATACTTTGCTCTGCCTTGAAAATTTATCCCTTTCCTCCCTGTCCACAAGAGTCTTGTACTTATCCTTTTTCCCTTGCTTTGTTGCCCTCTGGTTGCCTGGCCACTGCCGGGGTTTTCAGGTATGATGTGTTGTTGTGGGCATTCTGTTAGGTGGTCCACCCCACTTCTCCCAACGGCTGATGATCTGCCGTGCTGCTCTCAGTTTCTGCTGTGGGCACCGCTGCTCAGTTAGTCCTCTGTGCTGCTTTCAGCCACTGCTGGTCCACCATGCTGATCTTAGTCGCTGCTTGGGGTGTTTTGTGCCTCTGCCACAGAGTTCTACATCACTGCTGCCCAAGGCTTGCTATGCTGCTCCCAGCCACTGGTCTGCTGCCACTTAGCTCTGTTTTACCGCTGCTCAGTGGCTTCCATTTGCACCACACTGGCTCAAGTGTCAGGCTGGGTTGCTGGACTGCCTCTCCATCTCTCAACTCAGCTGTCTCTCCTTCTCTCAGCTGGGTCACCGGGTCACCTCCCGGTTGAGACATTGGGCTGCCTTTCAGCTGGGCCACCTCTCAGTTGGACTACCTCTCAGATGGGGTACTTCTCATCTCCTTGTTCAAGGAGTTCAGTTTTCTTTTTAATACTTTCTGTAGCTAATCTTGATGTTGTCCACTTGATATAGTTTGTAATCCATACATGTATTAAAAGGGACAGATGAATAAATTTGCAAAGTAAAACAAAATCTCAGTTTAAAATAAAAATATATAATATCTCAGCTGAGAGTAAAAAAATGTCAACTTGTTAGTATAAAAAAAAGATTATACAAATGTATATACATATATAAAAAGATAATACAAAATAGCCCACAAAATTCTACAACATATTTAAAAGCATTAGAACTTTAAAAATATTGCAAAAAAATATTGCAGTCTCTGACTATTTGTAATCCACAAAAGAACGTAGAATAATAATTGCAGTTCAGGCCAATAAAAGCAGTTCAGGGTAATTTACCATCTAGGTAATAAAACTAAAGCTGTAAAACTTTACAATAGTTGTAAACAACTTTCTAAAATGTTCACTCAGTTTTCTCAGGATCATTCAGTATAAAGACTGAAATCCTTAAAATCCTTATAAATATGCAGAGATAAAGAAAAAGAAATTTGCACTTCATTTATTAGAGAAAGAGGGGGGGGAGAACATTAATGCAATGAAATCTTTATGTAATTCATTTTGCAATTATGTTTGTGTAAGCATGCTCCATTAAGGTTAAAAAGAACTATGCAGTCAATATTGAAGAAAAACAGAAAATATTCTCAATGCTGACAAACTTTGTCAATGCTGGTATTTTTTCAATGTCATCAGAAAAACAAATGAACAAGGAACTACAGTCTGATTATGCTATAAAGCAGAACTCACCAGAATCAACTTTGCAACCAAATAAATAATTGATTTCCAAGATTCTTCTTCTTTCCAAAGTCCAGTCTTTTGCTCCATTCACTCCCCCCCCCGCCTTGTGGTTGCAATTCTGGGCATATTTGGGTTTTTTAAAAAAGGTTTTTAATTAGATTATTCAGCAGAGCCCCACCTGCATATCTGCTTTACAAAAGATCTTGCTATATTAAAGTTCTGATCTTAATATATTTTTCTTTTACATTCTTTATTTAAGGAGCTACTTCCCAACCACAAGATGGCAGAAGAAGATAAAATTTATCTAAAGCAGAACAGCTAACATCCTGAGAGCTCTGTTATAATTTTTCTATTACTATATTTCTCCTTTTAGCTCTTTGCAATGCTATTAAAATAAGTCTCACCCTCTATTTCTTGTGAAATTATTTAATATATTATTTTAAAGCAATTACACATATTTTCAATATGCTATTGTTATTGTTCTGAAATGTTAGGAAGACAACAGGTTATTTGTATTAATATCTAAGGATGACTATTTTTTTAAGAATTCAGAAGTGGAACCTATCAACTATTCTTATTAACATATGTATACTTAATGTGGGGAGATTCATTGTAGTTTATTGCCTTAGCAGATGGCAATAACTAAGCAAGTTTACCTTGAAAAATTTTAAAGGCTGATGAAGGCTGGGAGGAAAGACTGCCAGGAAATACCAAGATGTAAGCAAGATTGGGAAAATGAGAAAACAATGAACTACAACAATGCCATACTATTATAGTGTTCTAAGATAGCTACATGGTGTTCACAAAATCACCAAGAACTAGCTTGATGTGAAGGTGACATGATGTGTTGTGGGCCAACAGCGGCCGGCTGAGTTGTTGGTGGAATCTGACAGCGATGAACACTATGGACTGCCTGGAGGCTGAAGAAGACTCTGGGGGGTGTTAGGAGTCAGAGCAGGGACTAGAGAGGCCTGTTGGCCACCAGGTGGCATCTGAGTCAGGGAGCAGTGACGAAGAACAGATGGAGGCTGTCCCTGACGTATGTATGCGCAGGGCTGCGAGGAGGAGGGAGCAGCTTTGGAAAAAGGGTCACAGAAGGAAATAGGAACAGGTGGATACTGATTGGCCCCTCCTGGAGAGCTTATAGGTGGGGCAACGGGAGGGGAATTTTGCAGGAAACAATAATTTACTGATCCAGCCATAGAGAAAGATTGGGGGAATTTCGTGAGTTCAAGTCTTGTTTCATAGAGATAGCTTTCTGGGCTCCCAGCCAAGGGGTTGCTCATCTTCCTCCTTAGTTGTGGCAGACAGCCAAGTCTGCATCCATATATGTTGTAGAGGTTTGGGACAGAACATGGTATGACTTAATTTACTACAGGTGAATTTTACGTGGGTGGCTTTTCTCTAATTTGATTGAATTGTTGACTGAAATTAATGACAGGGTTTTCTTTTTCCTAACCAGTTTATCAAAGTTCCTGCAAGATTAATGTATAGTTTATAGACTTAATTAATTACATTTTTTAAAGGCAATTGGTTTTCAAATTTACATTTTTGCAAAGTGATGCACTCAGTGCTCTGTAGTACTGTTTTACAAGTATGTTTTTAGGCAGAAAAACAATTATTCATACATAAGAAAGATCTTGGTAGCAAAGAAAAACTACCTGGAAATGGATTTTTAACGTGAGAATGAGAGGAGAGGAACATTAAAGACCTAAACTGGCCTTCCCCTGTATTTTGCAACCTTCCCAAATTTTTTTAAAAAATGCTCAAGATTTACTCATACCTTGTTGGATTTGTGCACTAAGTAATGACGGACAACTGATGAAAGTAAAGGTGAATTAACATGCCATTACAGGAAATGAAGTTATTTCATTTATTACTCCGGAACCTAAACAGGTAGTCCTCAACTCACAGCCACAATTGGGACCAGAATTTCTGTTGCTAACGAAGACAGCTGTTAAGTAAGTCATGCCAGATCTAATGACTTTTTTGCCAATGGTTCTTAAATGAATCACTGCAGTTGCTAAGTTAGTCATGTGGTCATTAAACAAATCTGGCTTCCCCCACTGACTTTACTTGCCAAAAGCCAGCTGGAAAGGTCACGGATAGCGATCTCTTGATTCCTAGCTGTTGCATCCATTGTTTAATATGTGTCAGTTGCCAAGCATCCAAAATTTGATCATGTGATCCTGGGAATGGTGTGATGGTCATAAGTATGATGACTAGAATTAAGTCACTTTTTTCAGTGCCACCTTAACTTCAAACAGTTGCTAAATGAATGGTTGTAAGTCAATGACTACCTGTATTTGGATTTGTAAATTATACAGAAATAAACATTACCCTTCCTCAAGGCTCTCAAATTCTGCTTGGCATGGTGATGCAGCTCTTCTACACATGCTGGTCTGGTGGAAGGAAGAAAAATGTTTCTCTCCTGATGCCAAGGGGCATGATAATACACATTCAGTTTGCTTTCTGCATCCAAGTTTGAAACAGCTGTAGAAACAAATGAAGAGGATACTTAAAGAGATTTCCAGCAACAGCCCAATCCTAGGCAGTGACAGATGTTGCTCTATCAGGGCACAAAGAGAAAATATATGCTGCAAACTCTGCTTAGGTGACAGGAAGGGCATCTGGTCAGTAAATGCTAAGCTCCATTCAGTCGCCCCGACTCCACTCCCATAAAAGGTATTATAGGATCATAAAAAGAAAAACAAATGTGTGTGGGTGTATTTTGCAAATCTGAATTTTAAAGAAACTCAGCTTAAATAAATGAATATATTACAGAAGGAGAAACTAAGCAAAACATAACAAATATTACATTCTTTGTTTATTATTTATGTATACAGTGCCATAATTTTAAATTATGAATCTGATAAATCACCCAATTTTATTTTCAATTCATTATTTCACCAGTTAAATATACTTTGTAGTTTGTAAACTGAACAAGTTTCCTAGAATATATTTCTACCATTCACCAGTGATTCATTCATTCATGGTTCTTCATCATATTCTTCCATAATTGTATTCTTTTCATGATTCTCTTTAGAGATAATATGGAGTTACATCTTCATGAATAAGAACCATTGTTAATGCCATTCCATTATCAGAATACAAAACCAGGGCTTACAAAGTCTAGGGTGAATGGGTGAATGTATTAATCAATAAACATAATGTTGCTGATGTTGCAGAAATTGTGGAACTCTGAGCATTTGGGGCGGGCTACATTGGCAGGACAAGGGGATGTACATGCATCATAACACAACTGGAACAAATTAATGCAAAATGTGGGTTCAGTGGGAGGCATAGGTTAGATTAGGATAATTGGTTTTGTGATTTAATTTAGACAAGCTCCAAAAAAACCTTAAATAAAATGTGAAAAAATATGATTGGAATTTGTAAATCAGATTTCCAATTGAAAACTGATACAAGTATGCTATCTCACACATATTCTGTATATAATAATATAGCGACCATATATCTAGATCTATATCTCTATAATGGGTGAATGTTGTGGCCAAAAATATTACCATATACAATATATATTACCATATATTTATTTTATTTTATTTATTTTATTTATTTGTTTAATATTTATATATATTTAATATATAAGACGCATGAATACAAAACAACAAAGATTAAATTGATACACCAATTAATATGTTTTAGAGAAACCCTAATCGCCAACATCACATTAGACTTTTGTAGAAATGCATGAAACAGCCAAGAAGAAAGACTATTGCTAAGCAATCAGGACTTTTAAGATCCCTAACATTAAATTATCCCCAACAATATAATTTTATTCAGTCCCTAACTTAATAAAAATCAATAAAATAGGGCCAGGTGAACCTAAATATGGAATCAGAAATAAGTATTTTGTTAAGGGAAATTAAGCATTTTGAGAAAAGATGTGACAATAACACTAGCTAAGATTAAAGAATCTCAATAAAATTTTCTATATAAAGCAAGGGGATATTGGAGCATGGGATGATTCTTTGCTGCCTGGAAGATTTGAAGATAGTTTCTTGGGATTATCAAAATGTACCAAATTATCTACAAGTAGTCCTCGACTTATACTCATAATGGAACCTGCTAATTAAAGTTGCCAATGGTGATGGCTGTTAAGTGAGATGGACTTGCCTAATGAGCCCTATCCCTGTCTCCCTAATGCAACTGTGAAATAAAGATGGGGTTGTTAAATAGAGCATGGGGTGCCTTGAGGATGAGGGAGGCTCTAGGACACCAGTTTGCTCTAGTGGTTAAGGTACTAGGCTAGAAATTGGGAGATCGAGAGTTCAAATTCTGCCTTAGCCGTGAAAGTCAGCTGGATGACCTCAGGCCAGTCACTCTCTCTCTGCCCAACCCACCTCACAGGCTTGTTATTATGGGAAAAATAAGAGGAAGGAGGAGTGCAGGTAGTCCTCAATTTACAACTGTTCATTTAGTGACCATTGAAAGTTATAATGGCACTGAAGAAAAGTGATGACCATTTTTCACCCTTACAACTATAACAGCAACTCCATGGTCATGTGATCAAAATGTAGATGCTTGACAACTGACTCATATTTATGATGGTTGCAGTGTCCTGGGTTTATGTGATCTCTTTTTGTGACCTTCTGACAAATAAAGTTAATGTGGAAGCCAGATTAACTTCACAACTTTGCTATGAACTTAACAATTGCAGTGATTCACTTAACTGTGGCAACAAAGGTTGTAAAATGGGGCAAAGCTCACTTAACAAATGTCTTGCTTAGCAATAGAAATTTTGGGCTCAATTGTGGTCATAAGTTGAGGACTACCTGTATTAAATATGTTTGCTCCCAGGAGTTATTTGTAAAAATAATAAAGGTGAGATACAAATAGATAAATATAATTTTTATTTTGGAAATCAGGTTTTTGGTTTTCCAAAAGTCTTTTGTTATTCCAAGCATCTATGTCCCAAAGGTGCTTTTCAAAAGGAAATTGAAGCACTTTTGGGATAATCATGCTCTGCATGATTAAGAATTTCCACAGACATCCAAGCATCTATGTATTGCATCAGCAAACTGTGTATAAATACAACTGAAAGCTAAATCAAGTACCTGGCTTTTTAAAAAAAAAATACATTAATTGTACCTCATACAAAGGACAGGTGTATCATACCAACCAAACTCTGTGGTCGACAATTTTTTCCTGAATGGATGACATTGAGCATTTTCTATCCTAAATTCCTATCCATAGGAAGACTTACACATATAACTGTCTGGTTATATAAGTGTTGGTGTAAATCAAATTATCATGCACCAACTGCTTATTTATATGTCTACGCTGCCCAACTTGAAAATGACTCTGGACACTTCACAGGATTAAAAGATTCAGCTATACAAAAAACAAAACCACACAATATTCTATAAAACATAATTGATATATGAGAGAACTGCAAAATATAAAATATCTCAACATCATTTAATATATGAGTATTACAGTTTGATTATATGAATAGAAATCTGGCATATTGAATAAATACCAGTGTTTTAAAGACTCTTTTTAAAATGGTTTAGAAAACTGAGCCAGCCATTGGCTTGTTATTGTTTCCATTTCCCTAACACTCTCATGATTCAATACAGATGGGTTAATGGAAAATAAACAGCATGGTATGTTTTAAAAATAATGCATGGTTAGATCTTGGCAGGACTTATCACACATTTATGCAAGATGGCCAAACCCAAGTACAATACTAGTACATTCCTATTCCTTAATTAGGAGCATTGGTGAAGGTTTTGTTTTATAAAAAATCCAGTCACTAAATACTATGAATTAAAAAAAGTAAAAACCACAACAACTTTTAAAGTTAAATGATGATAAATTATAAGAGGAGGAAAAGAAATTGAATCCATAGCCAGAGAAAAATAGACTGTTACTGCTCTTAAGCCTGGTTTCACCCAGTCTATATGTGTACTTTTGATTTTTCTTGCCTAAGTGTAAAACTTTACTTTTCTCTATATTAAATTTCATTTCGTTAGATAGGGCCCAGTGCTCAAATCTGTCAAGATTCATCTGGATCTTGAGCCTATCATCTAGGGCAGTGATGCCTAATCTATGTGGTCGTGTGTCAAAAGTGTGCATGTGTGCGTGACAGTGTCCACATGTGTGCCCACACCCATAATACAATGCACTGCGACACTCCCTACTCCCTGTGCATGCAACATGTGCATGCAACCTCACTGCACTTCCCTCTGCACATGCGCACACCCCCTCCCCCCACCGTGCCCCATTTTGGGCCTAACAGGCCAATCTGAAGCCCTGGGACCAAAAATGAGGTGCGGGGGGGGGGGCTGCGCCACACCCTCCCACAGCCTACCTGAAACCTCCAGGGACCAAAAACGGGGTGCAAGGGAGGTGCACCCCCTGGGCTCCCCCCCAGCATATTAACATGCATCTTCTGGATACGCCATTCCCCTCACACATGCAGAGACCCAAAAATCAGCTGGCCAGTGGGAGGTATGTGTGCATGCACAGTGGAGCTTAGCTGGGATGACGGCTCGCGTGCCCGCAGAGAGGGCTCTGTGTGCCACCTGCGGCATGCGTGCCATAGATTTGCCACCACAGTTCTAGGGTGTTGGCTATTCATGCCAGCTAAGTATCATCCACAAATTTGGTAAGTCCCTCTTCTATTCATTCATGAAGATACTGTGCCTAAGATGGAAACTTGTGGTACTCCACTGTTTACTACCCTCCATTGTAGATATAGTACCATTAAGGACAGTTACAAATCCATCTGATGGTGATGTTAT